GCCTGTCTACGGTTTCGTCTCAGTACCACCTACGCAACCACACCACTCATGGTCCCAAAATCTTCCCGAATAAGAAATTGACCAAAATTACCCTTAACCCAAGAATAAATTAATATTTTCTCTTAATTAAATTAAAATAGGAAAATAATCGGAGTCGGGGTGTTACATAGTATCAGTTCCACCACCAAAAATATCCTGCATAAACCAAGAAATATCTTAGTTCACCCCCGAAATCAATTAGCAATGGATGGAGAAGTACAAGATTTTATATATTCTGATGTAGGTATCTTAGGCACATAAAGCTATTGAGCTTTCTTGCTTTAGTTGTGGAGACAGAGAAGAGACTTATCAAAATGATACCTTTGATGCTATCCCTATCAATGGAAGAGCCAGCCTTGTTTTGCTTTTGAATTTCAAGCAGAACATGCACAAGATCCTTCCCATCTTCACCTTCAACACTCATGTTATCACCACAGCTCTCTCCTTTCATGTTAAGAGTACACATATGCTCATCAACTACAGAATCCAGAAACTCATCAAACTCCTTAGCAACTTTCTCCACTCTTGCATCTAAACCATTAATTTGACTAACCCAACCAAGCCATGGAATAAAATCCCCTACATAAAAACCACCCAACAAGATCATAAACTCCCTAAGCAACTTCTTAAATTTCCTTGCACCTTCATCTCCACTATACTTTTTCCCAAAAGCCACCCTACAAAGCACATCATTAGTTAGTGAAGCAAACAACTCACTCAAATTCACAGGCAATGACAACAGAGAAGACTGTTTCACTTTATCAACCAGCAAGCCCAGCTCTTCTTCTCTAACACTTCTAAAAGACTGAACCCTTTTGTTACTTAAAAGCTGAAGCACACAGATGCTTCTCATTCTTCTCCAATGCTCACCATGAGGAGCTGTAGACACATCTTTCCCTTCATAGAGAAGCCTATCAGAAATTGCCAACTTGGGTCTGTTGGAGAAAATTGTATCATTTGTTTTCATGATCTCACCAGCTGCATCCGCAGGCGGAACTATGAGCACTGGTCTGATGCCAAGATGAAGCAGCATATAGTGCTGAGCTAGGCGTTGTAGGGATCGATGAGGGTAAGTGCCTAGTTGGTGGAGGTTTCCAAGTATTGGTAGACTTGGTGGTGAAGGAGGCAGGATTTTGTGTTTTGGTGTATCGGTAAGCCTTTTGATGAGGAACATTGTGAAGATGAGGAAGGGAAGGGCAATTACAAATAGGTGCAACATAGCTACTAGTTGCTCAATACCTAAGAACTCAATGTCGAATGTTGATTTGTCT